ACTCCTGGGCTTAAGCAGTTCTCTCACCTTGGCCTCTCCAGAATGCTGGGATTACAGGTGTGAGCCACTACACCCAGCCCCACTATAGACTTTTTATAAACACTGTACACTTAGGCTACACTAAATTTATTTCTTACATGTTCTTTCTTCAAGGTAGGAGTTAAGGACCAGTCTAGGCATCACAGGGAGACCTTGTCTCTACAAAAAAATTTTTAAAAATGAGCTGCATGTGGTGGTGTGCAACTATAGTCCCAACTACTCAGAAGGATGAGGTGGAAGAATTGTCTGAGCCTAGAAGGTCAAAGCCGCGATGAGCTGTGATTGTGCCAATGTGTTCCAGCCTGGGCGACAGAGTGAGACCCTGACTCAAAAAAAAGGATAGTAGTGTGCAGTGGTGTTGTAGGCCTTCACATTCACTCATCCACTGACTCACCCAAAGCAACTTCCAGTCCCCCAGCTCCATCCATTCATATTAAGTGCCCTATACAGGTAGCCCGCTTTTTTCCTTTTATACTGTATTTTTACTATACCTTTTCTGTTTACAGATGTTTATATACATAAATATCACTGTGCTATAATTGCTTATAGTATTCAATACAGTAACATGTTTTGCAGGTTTACAGCCTAGGAACAATAGGCCATTCCACATAGCCTAGGTGTGTGTAGGCTGCATCATGTAGGTTTGTGCAAGTACATTCTGTGGTGTTCACACAATGATGAAATCACCCAATGACGCATTTCTCAGAACATGTCCTTATCCTTAAGTGACATATGTCTGCATAAAATAATAGATTTCATAGCTTATTTGCTGTGGATGAAAATCTTACAAGCACTATGGAATGAAATATTATGTGTTTGGAATGTTGATATAATGTCAACAGGACCAAAGATAACAGAACACACAACTACTCCTATTTGCCTAAGAGAAAAGGCTGGCACTGAAGTTACTTACCATATTGGTTCTTTACTTTTTCACCAGACTTTTCTTATAGCTATACTAAGGAACAATACTGAAGATAAACTCTGTAAGCGCCTGCTTTTGAGAAGGTGCCAATATGTCAAGACACCCATTGGAACCCAGTAAACTGAAGGATCCCTACACTGCTCTGAGGACCGGAAAGTGAAGGAGAGTAATCTAAATGGCAGGCAGGAAGGCTTACCAAGTGAAATGGAAGGATACTGGCTAAGTGGTGAGTCTGGCCAGGATGGAGACTTCCCTCAGAATGCAGACAGTCATCCCGAAGAGTCTGTTGGAGGAGAAAATGATTCTGAAAACGGGTGATACGTTGAGTAAACTTGCAACAGTCAGCTTCTCACAGGACACACACGCAAAATGGCAGCTTAAATTCCAGTTTAACAATTTAGACAATAATGATGTCATCGACATCCGAACTGATACCAGGCATGTTTGGTTTGATGATAGCAGTTCAGGCTAGATGAAAGACCTGTTCTGGCTTTGGATTAGGGTCCCGAGTTAAAATGCCACTGAGGATTTGGAAAAATATAAAAGTGTCGAATATAAATGTTCTAAGAAGCCTAACATCACTTTCCTCAAAAATTTAAAGGATTGTATTGGACCTTTTTCAACAACAGAAAAGCTAAGTGCTAAAGATACCTGGTATCATCCAAATTGCTAAGAAGCGCCCCCCAAATTGGGTTTATGATCCCTGCCTCCAGTAGTTGTTGCATTTCAAGTGATTTTCCTTACGGCAGGTACCTGAGAACCAAGTTGGACACCTTAGCTGACTTTCCATCAACAACCTGACTGTACTGGAATTCCTAATTAATCCAAATGCAAGTCCTGTCATTTGAGTGCTGCTTCCACCTGCTATGGAGGGATGGGATGAGTGATGACTACTATCATGTCTCAACTGCACCTGAAGGCTAAACTGCATCCAAAGCAGTAAATGTACTCCTCCACCAGAGTGAAGATACTTTTGGTGGAGCTGGCTTTTTCCCTCCACAAACACCCCATTGAGAAAGTGATGAAGACAGCTGTGGCAATGACATGACACAGAAAATGAAAACTCCGCACACTGACTAATGAAGTTTCTTGAAGCTTCGAAGGAGAGACTTTCCTGCTGGTGGTATCTGTTGATGAAGTTATCTATTACATTAAAGAAAAGTCTGAAATGGAGGTTTCAGGCAACCAGATGTAAATCCCTTATCTGATTTTAACTTGTACAGTACTTGAAGTGAGACACAATGTACACTTTAATAAAAAAAAAAAAGCCTCTCACTATTCCTATTCAACGTAGTACTGGAAGTCCTAGCCCAAGCAATCAGGCAAGAGAAAGAATTAAAGGGTATCCAAATTGGGAAGACGAAATCAAACTATCTCTGTATGCTGGTGATATAATCTTATACTTAGAGAATCCTAAAGACTTTTCCAAAAGACTCCTGGGCTTGATAAATGAATATGATAAGGTCTCAGGATAAAAAATCAACATAAATCAGTAGCACTGCTATACACTATAGCAACCAAGTTGAGAATCAAATCAAGAACGCAGTTCCATTTACAATAGCAGCCAAAAAGCTAAAATACCTAGATTACATTTAACCAAGGAGTTGAAAAATCTCTACAAGGAGAAGTACAAAACACTGGTGAAAGAAATTGTAGAGGACACAGAGAAACATCCTATGCTCATGGATTGGAAGAATCACCATTGTTAAAATAACCATATTTCCCAAAGTTATCTATAGATTCAGTGCACTCCCTATCAAACTACCAATATCATTATTCACAGAAGTTTTTTTTAAAAATCCTAAAATTAATATGGAAACAAAAAAGAGCAAGAATAGCCAAAGGAATCCTAAGCAAAAAGAACAAAGCCAGAAGCATCACATCACTTCAAATTATACTACAAAGCTATAGTAACCAAAACAGCATGGTACTGGTACAAGAGCAGACACATGAGCCAATGGAACAGAACAGAGAATCCGGAAATAAGCCCCCAATACCTGCAATCAACTGATCTTTCACAAGCAGACAAAAAATGGTGCTGGGAAAATTGGATAGCTACCTGCAGAAAAATGAGACTGCATTCCTGTCTCTCCCCATGTACAAAAATTAACTCAAGATGGATGAAAGACTTCTGTGTCAGATCTGAAACCATAAAAAGCTGAGAATAAACCCTATGAAAAACTCTTCTGGATATGGGCCTACGCAAAGCATTTATGGCTAAAACCCCAAAAGCAAATACAACAAAAACAAAATAAACAAGTGGGACTGAATTAAATCACAGGCTTCTGCACAGCAAAATAAATAATCAACAAAGTAAACAGGCAACCTACAGAATGGGAGAAGATATTCGCGAACTATACATCTGACAAAGGACTAATATCTAGAATCGGCAAAACTCAAGTCAGCCAGAAAAAAGCAAATAAACCCATTAAAAAGTGGGCACATTACATGAACAAGTATCTCTGAAAAGAAGATACATAGATGGCCAACAGACTTATGAAAAAATGCCTAACATCACTATCAGGGAAATGCAAATTAAAACCAGTGAGATACCACCTTACACCACTCAGAATGGCCATTAAAAAAATCAAAAGACAGTAGATGCTGGCACGCATGTCATGAAACGAGAACGCCTATACACTGTTGGTGGGAATGCTGGTTAGTACAACCTCTATGGAAACTGGTATGGAGAGTTCTCAAAGAACTAAAAGTAGGTCTGTTCAATACAGCAATCTCACTGCGAGGTGTCTACCCAAAGGAATAGAGGTTGTTACACAAAAGACACCAGCACTCAGATGTTTATCGCAGCACAATTCACAGTTGCAAAGATGTGGAATCAACCTACCTTTCCTACTCATCAGTGGATAATGAAATGGGACACACACACACACCAACACACCACGGAATACTATTCAGTCATTCAAAAGAATGAAAAATGCATTTTACTGTAACTCGGATGAAATGGGAAAACATCATCCTAAGTGGACGAATGCACTGCATGTTCTCTTATAAGTGGGAGCTAAACCAAGCATCTGCAGAGGCAAAGAGCATGGTATGATGGACATTGGAGACTCAGAAGGGAGGGTGGGAAGGCTGGGAGGGATGGACAATCACCTCTTGGGTTCAGTGTGCACAGGTGGGGCTGTGGGTACACTTTAAGCCCACACTTCCTTGTCATTATGCAAGGTAGCCTTGCAACCAAAAACTGTACCCCCTAAAGCTATTAAAATGAGAGAAAAAAATGTCTTTCATCTATTTAGTCTTGAATTACGAGCTACATATATGTGGGAATGTAAAAATGAGGTTATGTTTATGAACATTCAGATATTTTAAGAGTGAAAGGACATTTAGATCATATGTGCACTTGGTATTTGCGGCTTCCCCTAATACATCATATTCTGTATTTCTGATTATAAAATCATAGAATGAGGTTTTCAGTGAGCTCTGCCTCCCACCAGTGTCCTCGTGTCCAGTTCAGGGGATAATGTCTTCTGTATATGCTGTGATGGCAGAGAGATTAGGAAGCTCTAGCTCTGGGGAGTTGGTTGGCTCCTTTCGAAACACTTGTCCAGACCCGGAATTAATTGCTCACATTTTGTTAGTGGTATGTGCATACGTTTTTCATTTTTGGTATGGAAGCTCTTTGGCATCTCAGGGCTATTCCTTAAATCCGTTTCCATCCTTCCTGTCCCAAGTACCATTCAGTGTTTGCAGTTTTTCTTCTATTCAGCTTCTGGGTGGATTCTCACAGGCACCACTGCGTAGAATTTATACAGGGCAAAGGTGGGGAAAAGTATCACTATCTTTGTTGCAGGAAAAACAAAACAAACAAAAAACTGAACATTAGGGGAAAAAAAGACCAACCAACCCTCCCAAACTCTTAAAACCCAGAAACCTTATCAGAGCCTTGGTGCCACCTTGTGGATCTGTTGAGTCACAACTGAATTTTGCCTTTGATTTATTCTGTGGCTGTCTTGGGTCAGTTTTGGTTGGACAGAAAATGCGTTCAATTTAAACTTTTTGTTTTGTTTTAAAGCACTCACTGAAAACGACCGAGACAGCCAGTCACCACTCAAGAACCCTCTGTTGTCGACGACAAGACCCCTGGTTTTCGGAAAGCCCAATGGCACGTACCTCTCTCTCTCCCCCTTGCTGCCCTCCCCGGGGCTTGCCCCTGCAGTGGCGGGGAGCGCTACCTTGTCATCTCCCTCAAGTGAACTAACACTGAGCCCACTGCCTTTGAAGGTCCGAAACCTTCCAAGTGGCCGTGCTGCGGGGTGGCTGGCCCAGTCCCCTCCACCAGGTTTTCTCCTGTTTGCTCTGTCCGGGGTCGCGTTGTGGCAGAGGTTCCCCAGCTGCCACCCCAGCCATGGTCAGCTGTAAACAGATGGCCTCTCTTGCTTTTCAAGTTTTGCATGAACCCTGCCTAGTGGCACTCCTTATCCCCTTGAGATCCCCTACTATATATTTCCCTTTCTGCTTTCATTGATTTAAACGATACTTTCCTTTTCTCAAGGTGATGCAGTTGATTATCAGAAACAGCTGAAACAGATGATTAAGGACTTAGCCAAAGAAAAAGATAAAACAGAGAAAGAGTTGCCCAAAATGAGCCAGGTATGGACTTTCTTCTGTGCAGATAATGAACTATTTTGCCAAATGATTTTGTCGATGATTAATTTGAGAACTAAGCTTGAGCCCTTTTGCCTCCAAATTCCAGGATCTTGTAACTTTGGGTAGAACACTGTGGTGATTAGATGGGAAAGAAAGAATTTGTGATCCATTCAGATATGCCACATATGCAGAGCTTTTCAAAACAGGAGGCAGCCACACACTGCACGTCTTTGAAGGGTTTTTATATCAACTTCATTAACCCAGGTTGTGACAAAGATTTGATTCCTTTGGGTGATTAGAAACATTTCATTTTTGTGCCACCGTGGATACAGCACCGTTCTCTTAAAAATTATTCGTGTTCTCTAATTTCTTAGAAATCACTTACTACACGATAGATGGTACTGACGTTTAAGTCTCTAAAACTTCCGAGCATTTTCCAGGTCCTGTGTTACAGTCAAGTGCCATATGATGGTAGTAGGTTGTTTTTTTTTTTAAATTAGAAAGGATCCCTCCCAATATTTAGGAAATGTAGGCTTGTAGTTTAAAATGCTCCTTTAATATAGGACTTAAATCATTTTGGTGTTGCATACTGTGAGTAGAATTTACCATGTAATATCTTTTTTGATCATAAAACTAATCTTGGGATTAGTGTTTCATAGCATATTTGAGAAATACCGTTCTCTTGTATTCTGTTGGGAAATTGCTTTCTGATTTCCAGTCTGTCAGTTGGATATAGAATAAAGCCAATTAATCCCATTACTCAGAGCTGTCAGTATTAATGTTTAATATACATTTTTGCTGTAGGTATGCTTTAAATAAAAATGGGCTACGTTAATATTTTGCTATTACTTAAAAAAATCATAGGTATTGCCCGCAAATTGTTAAACATTTGTTAAATTAGTAGCTCTCAACCATTCTTCTAGTCCTAGAGTAACTGTGTAGCTAAATCCACTGGAAGTATCTTCCATCACCTTACAGATTCTCAATTTTGGCAGTATGCATGTAATTGGAGACCAGGCACCACTGTTCTATTTCTTTTTACAAGCTTTAAGACCTGCATGGTATGGTATTCCCACCAGACGAATGTGCTGTAATTTTTAGTCATATCTCAGCTGTTTCCAACTTATTCTGTTATAAACTGTAGCTTAAAGCTCCTTATGGATAAATCTGTACCTTGCTCTGGTTTCTTGGCTTGCTGGGCACACATCTTGCATAGCAAGAAGCACCCTTCCAAGTGTGTGCTGAAATTCCCTGTAGTCACCATTGTCAATAGTTTTCAGAGTATGACAGAGGCTGTTTTCCTAGTCTGCATCTTCAAGAGTACTGTTGGGCTTTTCTCAAAGAACAAAAGCATAAAGTTCTTTGTTCTGTTGCTATAGTTTTTTTTTTTTTTAAATTTCAGAGAGAATTTATCCAGTTCTGCAAAACTTTGTACAGCATGTTCCATGAAGATCCAGAAGAAAACAATCTGTATCAAGCCATTGCCACAGTCACAACCCTGCTGCTGCAAATTGGGGAGGTGGGGCAGCGAAGCAGCAGCTCAGGAAGCTGCTCCCACGAATGTGGGGAAGAGCTGCGGGCATCAGCTCCTTCTCCTGAGCAGGACTCCGTTTTCGCTGAGAAGACTCCCCAGGACTCCCAAGCATTTCCCGAGGAGACAGAAGGGGACTGGACTGTCTCCCTTGAACATATCTTAGCATCACTACTGACTGAACAGTCTTTAGTAAACTTCTTTGAAAAGCCACTAGACATGAAACCCCAACTTGAAAATGCCAAGATCAATCAGTACAGTCTCAAAACTCTTGAAATGAGCCGCCAATCACAGCCTGAACTCAAGCTGGGTAACCTGTAGCAAGAGCAGTTGCCATGTGGAGTCTGCTATACCAAAGCACAGACCAGACCATCTCTTGGGTTGTCAGCCCGTAAGCCCAGATTTCCGTCTACTTTGAGCATACCTTACAAACTGGATCTCTGAAAAAGCAATCTGACAAATTGTGGCCATGGAAACCGACGCGACCCCTCAAGCATTTCTATTTATTCCTTAAGAAATTGTTAATCAGACACTGTCAGTGCTGTCGGGCATCCATAGGTCTCCTTGGTGCCGTGACTTGCAATTCTTGTCAGAGTTGCTGAAATGGGCACTCTTCTACCGTGATGCCAATTATGGTTTTGTCCTCAGAAGGAACCCAAGTTAGATGTGTTATACTAACCAAGAGAGAAGCCCCCACTCTCATTTTTTTCACTTGAAATGACAATGGGAAAGGTCAAGTTCACTTTCAAGATTTAAGAGTATCCACTTTTGTGCAATTGCATTTGGCTTTTGTTTGCACTAATTTTGTTTCAATGCTGGTAATTGAAACCATTTTTAATATATTTGGTTGTATTCACTTTGTATGTCCTCCCAAATATGTTGTGTACAGACCATGCTTTCAATGTTGGCCTCAGAGTTTTTTAATAAGAAACTTTTTTGTATTGACTTGGGCTTTTATCTTCTATGTTAATATAGTGTCTTCAGGTGTGGCAACGAATGGACAAGCTGAAAATGTCTCCTATCCATCCATGGTCTCAGTGGTTAGTGCAATACAGTCAGAATCCCTCAACCCCACCTAGGTTGAACACCATCACCAATAGGGCTTCACAGAAAAGACCACCTTAAGTGGCAACCCTGTCACCTTGAGGTAAGGTCAATTAAACAAAATTTTTGTTACTGTAACCTTAAGGAACTTTACTTCTGAACTGTAGCTCCATGTGCTTGGAAAAACTCACAGAGCCATTATAATCAAGTTAAAACATGAATTGTTTCAGCTGGGCGTGGTAGCACACACCGGTAGTTCCGGCTACCAGAAAGGCTGAAGTGGAAGGATTGCCAGAGCCCAGCAGGTCGATGCTGGGGTGGCTGTGTGTGCCACTGCACTCCAGCCTGGTGTGACTCTAACTCAAAAAAAATTTTTTTTAAAATAAACTGAACTGTACCTGTAAGTTAAATGTAGTCTGGCTACTTTAGGATAGTTATTCTAGAAATTCAGATGCAGCAGCTTACTGCCATGATATCGACTGCATCACCTGAGAGTCTCTTAAAATGGGAAAAGTGGCCAATGGTTATTAAACTCTATGTTCTAGGTTTCTGGAAAAATGCTTGGCTTAACAAGACAAGTAAAATCACCATGTCTCCAATTTTTCAACCGCCTACAACAGTGTTTCTCAAGCCAGATTGTATTTGAAAATTACCTTAATTAAAAACCTTGCTTAGACCCAGTCCAAGTAAATATCAGTATTCAGGAAACACTCTTCAAGTGATCCCATAATTGGAAACTGCTTTAGGATACACAGGCACATGGTGTTGCAACCAGAAAAAGAAAACCAAAACTTGAAAGCAGTTTTATAACTTTATTTGATGTTCTTGACGATCGGTGATTAGTTCTCATCCACATTGACTGTCTGTAGGTCTGCAAGAGAATGACAGTCAACTTCCATTCCCACAGGTCACATTTCAACAGTCCAGAAACTCTAAAAGGGTCTGGGTACACAGGAGTCATTTTCCACGACCTTTCAACCACCCAGATGTGGATAAGCTTTGTATTCTTCTGCATCTTCCCACACCAACACACCATTAAAAAAAAAGTATGATGATGATGCCTGTCGCTCTATCAGCTGGACAGATGAATTCAGCTATGACAGAGCTAAGGACATTCTTGTGTAACTTAAACAGCTCAGTGGGACAGAGAACTTACTTTTGAAAGTGGTAACAGGGACATAGGTCACCAAAGTATAAAGCTTGTTTGGTGAGTCTTCATCCTCATTTCGTTTCCTGGACAACCGCACACGGATACGGTACGGGACATTCCTAATAAAAATACAAACACATTGTTAAAGTCAATGCCTCCTTTCAAGAATACAGCCACCAGCTTTATCTATGCATCCCATCCCTGCTTCTAATACTCTGTTCTTTTGCTCTGTTTCCTGGAGAATAAAACCTACCCCCAGGTGGACACTAAACGCTGTTACCTCAGGATGCATGCCTCTAAGACATGTTAAGGCAATCACCACCGACAACCAATTAATCCAAAGCAAAAATCTGGGCCCCAAAATGCTCCTCTTTTGCCTTTACCACCAGAGAACTTGCTATGGGACATTTCCATGTTGCCCTTAAATCTGAAGACTGCAAGCTACAGTGAACACAGAAGACCCAATTTTCAGTTTCTTCGCCTTATGCACACAATCCTTCCATCCTCTTAAGCTCTTAGCAGCACTGCAGCTGACTGTCCGGCCTTCCTTTACTGATCTCAGGATGCGCAAGGTACAACACTGTCCTAGGCCCAGGACTCCCATCGACTCAGGACTTCTGGCTCTTACAACACCAGTCCTCCTGTGTCATTCCAAGGCACTGAAGATCCTTTACTGGACATCTCTTCTCTGCCACTCCCCTAAATGCAGGCCCAGCACATAGCTGAGTCCCAGGTCCCTCTCTCGGTCATTTCACCCAACCCTACAGTTTAAATATCACCCAGATGCAGGCAGTCCTCCCCCCTGCCCCCATTTCACAGAATCAGCTAGTCCATGCTATTGCCATCCCTCTAACTGGTCCCCTCATTTCTGCTCTGGCACCCTTTAGTGTCCTTCACAGCATAAGGCTCCCCTTGCTCCACCTACCACTTTAAAGCAGGGTTTCCCAATCTCAGCACTGCCGCCATTTGGCCCAGGCAATTCTTTGTTGTGGGAGCGGTCCCTGAATTGTAGGATGTTGAGTGGCCCCTGCCCTGTGGCAACTCTCGGTAGTGTCAACAAAAAAACACCCCCTGGGGGAAGGCAGATAAAGCTGCCCCAGGCAAAGAACCACTGTGCTAACGGTGGGTTTCCCATGCCATCTAGAGACGATCATACATGGTCTGGCCACCCTGCCCCTCCATCTTCATTCTTGCAGTCACTTACTCTACCCTTACCCTCACCAACCTGCTCCTAGGTCCCACCAGGTTTGCACTCTCTGTGCAAAGCCCTTCACTACCCCACACTGGGGCTCCTCTGCAGATGTTAGTTCACCCCAGTCACTGTCAATATTTTTTTTTTGTAATTCCACACACATCAACCAAGTTAGTGAACTTATATGGAGTGTGCAGGGTGAGGTAGGTAAGCTGGTGTCATCATAAAAGTTCACCCGCGAACACATAATTTTAGCACCTTATTCCTTTGGCCCAGACAGCTTTGTTGAGCCTGGTATCAATGCGTACATCTGGAGTCCCCATCTCCTTCATGGCAAATTTTCGGATCTCTTTGAGTGCCCGAGGCGCCCGCTTCTTGAAGCCCCTACGATTCAAACATAGTAAGTTAATGAGCACAAAATTAAATGAAATACATACACCAAGCCCCCACTTCATGCCACTGGTAGGCACTTGAACAGGCAGACATACCACCATACTAAAGAGGACTGGCTCTGATAGGTTCTTGGAGACTGTGACTTTAAGCAAAGTGATGTACTGTACAACAAAAGCAATTTTATCACACTCTAATAAAGAAGAGGCAAGTTCCTACAGCACACAGCAGGCCATTTTGTTTAAAGTTTGTTTCCAAGAACTCATCGACAAGGTTAAACAAAGACTTACTGTATAAGGTATGTCCTGTTTTGACAAAACCAACCAAAACCAAACTGTCAGCTAGGCAGAAATCATCCCTTTTCCTATGAGTGTGCAGTGTCTGACAACTGGAGTCATACTTGGGACAAGGCACACAACCCATTTTCAGATCAAAATGTAATTTGATTATATGTCATGTCCTAAGACAGGGCATGTTTTGGGAACAGATCACTCGATGCTCTTAACCCGGTCTATAAGGACAGTAGGTAGTTCTACAGAGCTCTTGGTATGTGTCAGGCACTACCCCAGGAGCAGTATTTGCACTCATTTTCTTCCAACTTTTTCAGAACTGAGTTAAGTACTAGTAGCCCTTTGTTCATGAGAGTACAAATGAATCTGTATGCTTTCAGATACATAAGAAACGCAGAAATGTACAACTTTACACAGGCTGAAAAGGACAAGCATTTGTGTAAGTGAAGGCCCTTCCAAATGAAGCAGAGTTCAAACAGCCTAAAAAGGTGTTCTATCACCCCAAGCCTGCAAGCTTGCTCTACCCTCTCCAGCCTACCTCGCTCACTTAACCACCTAGAAATAAAGGGTGCGAGAAATGACAGCAGCCAGTAAAACAAAGACCTACGTAAATACCCTATGGCGCACATTCCCTGCCTATTTAGGAGGGAAAAACAAAGCATCTTCATGGAAAAACCAACTGTCAACTGTTGCAGATCAAGTGAAGACTAAGAAAAGTCCCAAAGATTTAGCACCATGGAGGCCCTTACATGGAGCTTTTGCAAGGAAGCACAAAATGCCTGAAAACCTCATCCAGTTGTGGCTCACACCCCCCCTTGTACACGTCCCAGTATTTATGTGGCCCTTTAACACAGCAGCCCTCCTCTCACCCTGTGACTTGCTTTCCACTTGGTACTTAAAAAAAATCATCTTACATCTAAAAGAGGAGAAGGAATGTGGTTAATCACAAGCAGTATCAACACAGACTGGGTTTCGGACCCGGAAGCCACCTGAGACCCTAAATCAGACAATGCTCATAGTGCTTGGCTGATTCTGTAAATACTTTGCCAGAATGTTCAATAAAAATGCCGCCACATTTCAATGTGTGGCAAAGTTAATCGCCTTGACACGAGAATGCTCCATCAACTGCAAGAAACTCTGCTCCAACCCGATGCCTGAACCGAGTATTTCACTGTGTTAACGCCTTGCTATGAAAAGCGCTAACAGCCCGGCTGGATGCAGCTTTCAGCTAATTTTCCTAAAGCCCAGAGGCACTAGCGTTCGCTTTCCTTCACATCCACACCCTTTAGCCTATCCAAATCTAACTCGAAGGCAAAAGCACTGAGTGCATGATAGTCTCGTTTTGTCATCGCCAAGGTTTCCCGAGTCGATCGCCCCAGAAAGTTGACTCAGTCCCCCCAGAAAGTTGACTCTAAGCCCCAGGCAGGCTACATGCAAGAAGAGACTTGAGATTCCGAAAGAAAGACGCCTAACTGCCAGGTCACCTAGGCTTTAAACGATCTGAGAGTGACAGCCGGGCGCGTGAGCTGGCGAGCCCCCCGGCCAGCGGCAGCGATACTCACACTCCATGGATGCGCTTGTGAATGTTGATGGTGTATTCTCGGGTCACGACCTCGTTGATGGCAGAACGGCCCTTCTTCTTCTCGCCACCCTTCTTTGCGGGTGCCATCTAAACGCAGGCGACAGGGAGGCTCAGAGCAGAGCGGGACAAGACCAAGCAAGGCCTCCCTCGAGGTGCTTCCGAGCGCGGAGAGTCCGGCCAGGTCACCCCCGCCGCCCCGCGACTCACGAGCCCGTGTCGCTCAGATACCCCCTACCAGGAAGCCCCTGCGGCACGGCTCCCCTAAGCTTGGCCACTCTCCCTCCCAGGCTCCGGGAGCCCGTAAACGCAACGCCGATTCCCAACTCCCAAGAACGCGGAGCCCCGAGCCGGTTCGGGAGAAGTCCTGCCGTCGCACTCGGCACAACCCCGAAAGAGGATGGGGCCGGATTCCTGAAACCGAGAGCCGAACACCCATACTCACTCTGCCGGGCCCAAGTCGGAAAGGAAGAGCGCGGGGAATTGTGGGAGGAAGGAAGAGGCGGTCGCAGGGAGAACTTCCGGGTCGCCTGAGTGTGGGACTAGGGAAAAGAAAGGCGAGGCTGTGACGTAAGCAGTGCGCGCCGAGGTTGGAGGGAGAGAACGAGCCTCAGGGGCGGGTCCTGGCCGTGCTTCGGGGGCGGCTTCCCTGTGGCTCCGTGGAAGGAGGAGGAATTTGCGACTTTGGTGTGAGTCTTCGGAGAACGCCAAGACACGGGCCTGTAGCTGGATGGGAGCAGGGCCAACAGAAGAAGACGCTCTTATGGTTCGCGGTCATTCATTCGACCAAAGTTTTCGGAGCCCGTGTCGGGCGCCGTGGCTGGCCGTCAGTCCCAGGGAAGTCAGGACACAGCCCCGGTCCCGGGTGCCCACGTCGGGCAGGGCCGGCTGATGAATGCGAGCCGTGACTGTCCTCGGCGGTTCAGCCGCAGGACTGTCGTGTCGACTCGGTGTTTGGGGGGGTGGGATGCTGGAGGGAGGGGAGGCTTGCGTGGGGCCTGCAAGGAGTGGCAGGGATAACTGGGCAGGGAAGGGGTGGGGGGCGCTGCACGACGGGGGTCTGCAGCAGTACGGCTTCCCCCACTCTTGGCTGAGAGTTGAGATCGTCCGCGGGGACTTATTCGTTCAAGAGTGTAAATGTTACAAATAATAAGGGTCATCGAAAGGTTTTCAGGAGGGCAGCGCCTCGGTTCGATGCTTTAGAGTTAATTTGGCCACAATGAGGAATAGCCCGGGAGATCAGTTGAAGGAAACTACAAAATATAGACAATTGATGAGGGTCTGAATAAGGCAGTTGCAGTGGGATTGGAAAGGATCGGACTAATAATAGAAATACAGGGAGGAGGTAAAATCAAGAGGATGGGGAAGGAGAAAACCAAAGTAGAGTACATTTAAGAGGTATGGGAGGCAGAGGCCATAAGAAAAAAGTGAAGTGTCATTAGAGCAGTAGGAAAACATTTGGAAGTATTCTCAGGCCAGGTGTGGGTGGCTCACGCCTGCAATCCCAGCACTTTGAGAGGCAGAGAGGAGAGGACTGCCTGAGTCCGGGGGTTTGAGACCAGCCTGGGCAATTTGGTGAGACTTAGTCTCTACAATCTCTATAATAAATACAAAAAATTAGCCGGACCTGGTGGCGCGCATCTGTAGTTCCAGCTACTTGGAAGGCTGAGGCAGAAGGATCACCTGAACCCAGTAGGTGGAGGCTGCAGTAGCTGTGAGCAGTGCCTATGCACTCCAGCCTGAGTGACAGAGTGAGACCCCGACTCAAAAAAAAAAGAAAAGAAAAAATATTCTCATACAAGCTAAGCGCCTCCTCAACGGGCACTACATGTTACAGAGTTCGAGAAAGGCAAAAACAGATGTGTCTATTAGATTCTCCAAACAGGAGATAATGATTTCAACAAAAGGAGAGAATTGGGGAGTGGGGATATAGCTGCTTCCACCGATTCCATCTCTGGGGGCATAAACACTGGAGGGAGACATACTGAGGGAGGGAAGGGGAGCTGGGGGAGCAGCAGGCAGTCAGGGTGAGTGAGTGGGCTAGATATGATGTAGGAGATGGGTAGCTCTAAGAAGGTGCCCCGAGTCCTAGGAGCTGTGTCACCAGTCTTGGGTCTGTGGATCCGTGTCTTCCTTTTTCTTGACAAACTTCCTTCTTTCACAGGGGCACACTATTTAGTGGCCTCTGAAGACTGAGCACAGGAGCTAAAGTTTTTGATCCCCCAAATATCTGAAGGTGTTTATTCAACTCTCAAATTTAAATTCTGGCTTGTATGGAGTTCTAGGTTGAAAAGAGTTTCTCCCCAGCATTCTGTTTGGCGTGGTTGTTGAGAAGTGATGGCGTCATTTATTTTCTCTGAAAGGTCTTAGGATCTTCTCTTTACCTACAAACTTCTGAAATTTCATCATGATGGTACCTTGACTTTAAGAGAAGTTTCCCAGAACTAAAGAGCTTGATTTTCCAAGTTGAAAGGGCCCACTTAATGCCTGTCACTTCCGTGAATGGAAAATGCAGGAGCCTGTTAGGCTCAGTGGCTCAGCCTATGATGCCAGCACTTTGGGAGGCCGAGGTGAGAGGATTGCCTGAGCCCGTGGGTTTGAGACCCACCTGGGCAACTTGGCGAGATCGCATCTCTACAATAAACCAAAAATTAGCCGGGCATGGTAGCACGCGCCTGTAGTTCTAGCTACTTGGAAGGCTGAGGCGGAAAGATCGCCGGAGCCCAGCAGGTCGAGGCTGCGGTGGCCGGGAGCGGCCATCACACTCCAGTCTGGGCGACAGAGTGAGACTCCAACTCAAAAAAAAAAAAAAGAAAATGCAGGGACCAAGGCAATCGCCCCTAACCTACTAACAAGGTTTTCAGGAATGGACATACTTCTGGATCTCTCAGATGATACTGGAGGCAGGTAGGTTTAGGGCTGAAACAGGGACTCTGTGATGCCATGAGGAGCCCAGACCTTTGCATCCTGTATCGAGATGGGCACTGCACCTTCTGATTTCCCAGCTGAGCTCAAAGGCAGGAGGAGATGGCGGTGGATAGGCAAGTTTTCGCCTTATGTTTCTTTTATCAGAATACAAAGTTCTTTCCAGAACCTCCAGCAGTGTTCAACCTGTCACTGGATAGAAGTGGGACTCCCTTATCAGGTTGGGAGAGCAGTACCCACTAGAAGCAGGTGAGTGGGACTGTCATAACTACCTTAGCCTACGGACGTGGGCATTTTGGCCTGGGCTAGAGACATTGCTGTCTCACAGAACTGGAATTCTGTTAAGGCAGAAGGGGGACTGCTCCCATCTGGTTCAACCCAATGATGCTTGGTCCCAGAGTCTCCTTTCCTCTCCCCTTCGCCTGCCTGTCTTCCCCCCTTCTGCTCAGACACCCGAAACCTGCCTCAGGCCTTTCACACCTGAGGGTCCATTTGGGATCATTGTTCAGCTCCCAACTCCCTGCAGTCTCTTGAAGATGTGATCCTGCCCTTTCTATCTGGCTTCCAGCGCCCAGAGGGAATATGAGGGACAGCTTCCTGGACAGCATCCGTAGGAGACAATAAAGTGTCACTGCAGTAAAGCAGAAGCCTGGTGCCAGCCGACTCAAGTTTCCATATAAATGACGAAATGTGAATAGATCCTACCTCTTGTTGAAGCAAATAGACTTCACCAGTGGAAATCTACAAAACAGCCCTCTGATGTCAACTCTGCTGCCTTAAACAAAGGTTGAATGGCCATATAATAAAAACTTCGCTTTGAGGACAGAAAATCATCGGCCAGCTGGGGCTCTCTGTGTTTCAGTCCAGCCCTGCAGCTCTTACAGCTTCTTTCTGTCCCTAGCCCCAGGTTCTAGGCCATTGACTCCCGGCCTCCCAGGGACCAGAACAACTTAGGAACTTTGTGGGTGTGAGAGCTGTGCTAATCACCCATGTCTTTTTAGCTTTTACTTGAGACCTCTTCAAGTGAAACACAATCTTTCCCTGTGGGGGCAAGAAAGAAGGGGACAGGCTGCCTCCCAGTCCTCACTAGCCTTAGGCGGTGACAAACCCCAAGGGACCGGAGGGGGTTATTTTCGGTGGTTTCAAGCTGAGCTCCAGGAAGCACCCGGGGAACTTCCCAAGAAGAGCCACTGTAAGATTTTTAAAAGGAAAGGGGCCTGGCAGTGAAGAGGTGCCATGTCAGTGGACCAGGGCCTGGGAGGGCTGTGACAGGCTGTTGCTGTCACTGTGACCCAGCTGAAGTGGGGCCTGGTGAGGCGGCCCCTCGTGGGGCAGAGGGGAGAGGAATGAGACGAGAAGTATTTGAAATTAAAATCAACAGTTCATAACCGATTCTATATGGAATGTCAATTTAGGAGGAAGCCTTAGTGGTTAACAAAAATCACATTAGAAAAGCAGCCTACACTCCAGTATCTAGTACACTACAGAAATCAGTATGATTTCGACTTTGAAGTCAGTTTTCGGCTGGATCACAGCAGAGTGACCCCAAAACAGCAACAGAAGCAGCACTTTTACCCAACACCAGGTCTCATTCTTACTCTAGGCACCCAGATTATAAACTCTTCTGCCTGTTTCTGTTTTTTGAATTGGGAGGTCTCACTTTGTTTCCTGGGCTGGAGGGCAGTGGCATGATCATGGTTCACCACCACCTCAACCTCCTGGGCTCAGGCTATCCTCTCGCCTCAGCCTCTTGAGTAGCTGGGACTACAGGCATGTGCTACCACATCCAGGTAATTTTTAAATTTTTTGGTAGAGACCAGGTCTCGCTATGTTGCCTAAGCTAGTCTTAAACTCCTGGGCTCAGGCATTCCTCCTGCCCCACCCTCCCAAAGTGCTGGCATTACAGGTGTGAGTCACTGCACCTGGCTGTTTTTTTTTGTTTTGTTTTTTTAAGGAGTCAGGACTCAACCAGGATTCCTTGGAGGGTAACTGATTCCATGCTTTGGGGCAGGAAAAAAAAATCAAGATGAGCCTTGATCCTATTGTTTCCAGAAGAACCGTGGCATCTGGTTTTTGATGAACAATGCTAAAAACACAAAGAAACCAAATACCGGAGCAAGTTCTTGCTTTCCAAGTTGTGCCAGCCTGAGCATGAGATAAAAGAGTAACATGGTGAATTAGAAAAGTTGAATTTATAAAAGGCCATGAGTTCCTGATTTCATGCTTAAAGTAAAATATATAATAGATATATGCCAAAGTATAGTTAGGTAAAAGTCCTAAAAGAGATTTTCTTTTTCTTTCCAGTGAGGCTTTTTCCTGAGAAAAATAAAACTGTTGGTATGTATAGGATAAGGTTCGTGCATACCTTCCAAAGTGCTGGGATTACACGTGTGAGCCACCGTGCCCGGCTGGATTCATGTGTATAGCACCTTTCCATGCCATCCAAAACCGATCCCAGTCACAGGACTGAGGAGAGCTAGTTCCATTTTCCGGAGGCGTAGAAGCATGGAGTTATAGTGATGACACAGGGAAAGGAACTTAGCTCTCTTGGGCCAGTGCTTTTGGAAAGGGCATTGCTGCTGTCTCAGTGATTCTCCACCAAGGTACACCAAGGAACCCTTGTGTTAGCCTGAGGAAGCCTCATGAGGGCGTAAGCTGTACGTAGTTGCCAGAAACCGTGCTGCTGCTGCTATGTCTCCCCCCACATCCAGCATGGCGTATGTGTACACATCTTACACAAGTATCCTGCCTATGTCACTGATATCTATGTATAGGCAGTGAGACCTGGTGGAATTCCAACCTGGGTAAGTGTAATGGTGGACTATGAATGAATGCTTTGGTGGAGAATGTCTCAGTCATCTCCACACACTCCCTGTGTCAAGACTGAGATGTTTCCAGGAACGTTTTCCTGCTTTTGTTTTGCTGTCACTTCTATAGTAAACCATTGTTTTTCTGGCACAACCTTTAATATAAAGATCAGGACCTGATAGGCCGATGCACGTGTTGTAGCTCAAAAAACTTGATGCCATCACCCGACTTCTTTTTCTTTTTTTTTTTTTTGAGTTGGAGTCTCACTCTGTTGCCCAGGCTGGAGTGTAGTAGCATGCCCACGGCCACCACGGCCTTGACCTGCTGGGCTCTGGCGATCCTTCCCCCTCAGCATTCCGAGTAGCCGGAACTACAGGCACGCGTTACCAACGTCCAGCTTATTTTCTGATTTACTGTAGAGATGAGGTCTCACCAAGTTGCCCAGGCTGGTCTTGAACCCGAGCTCAGGCAGTCCCCTCGCCTCAGCCTCCCAAAAGGCTAGGATTACAGGCTTGAGCCATCGTGCCTGGCCTTATTTATTTCTTGCTTCCATCTTTTCCATATGTTTGATTATCCTTGAAACATCTCATCTTGAAATTAAAAAAATATGGTTACCAGTGAAAATATGTGTGAGGGATGTATAACAAGGGACAGAGGAAATTGTACAAATTTGTTAATTTATTACAAAATGTCCACTCACAGAAAAACACAAGAAAACTTTTATAATTTTATATTTGGGAAAGGAACTGGTGTCTCAGATACAAAATAATTTACACATAATCCATACAATTTTATTTTATATAGAAATAGGTCATTATTACAACAGCTGTACAATTCACTACGCTTCATCTTATAATTACATAAAATCTTTTCTTTAGAAACATATCAACATAACAAAACATACAAAAAAAGCAAAGTGCATTCTGAAAAGGAAAATCCAATTCTCAGTCTTCTCATGAAAGATATGTAGAAAGATGCAGCATTCTCACTCAAAGGGCCAGCACATGGCGGGGTTCCTCGGAGACTAGAGCCCCCCAGGCCCATCCGGCTCCGAAACCTCTCCCTCACAGGCGTCGCGTTCCCACCAGAGTTCTGGAATGTCAGCTGGCCTGACTGCTTTGCTCTGAGTCCACCTTGGTAGTTGCGATCAATGAAGTAAACAGGAAATTGCCCAGTGTTATATTTAGGGGAGAAACCACCAGCACGGCATGGGGCAAAAAGCCTCAGCCCATTAGGGTGCAGGCCGGGAAGGGTGTGAATCTGTAGCTTGGTTAATAATGGCCAGCTTCTCTATCTGATTGGTGGGCTGTTTTTGTTACTGTGGTCTCCGAATGAAGTCAGAGACCTTATTATTTTTAAAAACAGAAAGTGCCTAAGTTATTTCCTCTGTGCAGCTGTGCAAATTAAAACAAAAACAACCATTTAAAAATAATGAAAAATAACCTCTTTATTCTCTCTCTCTCCAACAGATCTCTGACCCAGTCCTTCTCGAATACAAAGGAAGGATGACCCGGACAGCGAAGGCCAGCCAAGCGCGGATGGATGGGCCGCAGCCGGCTAGTGTAACCAGCTCACTCTCAGGGGATGCAGTGAGCGCGCCATATCCGAAGGTAAACTGAGTCATGACACCCACACAGGACTCTAGGTTCCTGCCCACTCTGACTGTAGAGTGTGACCGGGGACCTCGGAGACAAGGGACACACGGCCGGCATTCCTGACCATTTCCACTTTGCCGGCTGTTGCACTCCACAGATGGTTCCCACCCAGGAGCTCTGAAATGTATGCAGTGTGTGAATAGATGCCAAGGGTCTAGTTCACACTCCTCCCCCATCTCCCATGGCCACCCCTCCTCGTCCATTGGTTAAAGCTGATTGCATCCCAGTCTCAGTGCCCGGCACTACCGGGGCGGCTGCTGGAGGCCTGACGACTCAGACAGACTGCTGACCCTCCGGGGGGTCCGCGGGGGCTGGGGTTGCACCGGGGGTGGCGGGGGATAGCCCAGGGTCCCTGGCGGTTGCGAGTAAGTCGAGAGGAGCAGCGGGTCCTGCTGCTCACTGTGCAAAGAGGTTGGCGCCTGGACCTGGAAAGAAGAGGAAGAGGGCTGCAGAGCGATCGGCTGAATCAGTCCCTCATAGTTTAGCAGGGGAGGGAGAGCTGCAGATTCCGTCAGAAGACAGGACTCTCCTCTGTGGGTAGTCTCAGGGGAGAGGTGGCTCTGGCAGGACCTCGTGTGGGGAGCTGAGGATGGGGAAGAAAGGCACCGGAGGCTTTACAAGGGGGCAATTCTGAGCCCCAGTTCTCTGCCAGTGCTGGGGGGGTTCTTCTGGCCCAGTGCGGGGAATGGTTTCGTCAACACACGCACATTACATGTAGGCGGAATGTTCTTGTTGATGGAACCTGGGGCCACGTGCAGGTAACAGGGCAGAATCCAGATACACACACAGCCCACACACTCTTCACTGTTGGTCCCTGATACCGTGACTCCCTATAAATACGGCCATTCGCCAGCTCCTATGAGGAGACATCCTGATGAGACGTTCAGAAGCTTCAGCTGGCCAAAGCCTGACTCTGGAGGCTTTGATCTTGTCGCCCACTATTCCCTTCCACGAGATCTTCCCCTCCAAGTAACCCAGCGGCCCCTGCCCTCGCAGGATTCCTGCCCTATGCTCTTGCTGGGGCTTTCTAGCTGGGACACCGTCCCTTTATCTTCACCCACACTCTGGGCACTTCCTGGACAGCAGGCTCCAGCAGGTGCCTCCTAAGCCTTCTTCCCCCTGAAGTCCCTTCCTCCACGAAGGCTTCCCTGCCAACTGTGCTCCCACTCTGCACTCAACTGGCAGGACCACTCTCTGTGCTGACCCACGTTCCCACCCCACACCCCGAGGCCCCGAAAGGCAGTGAGCAGGCCAGAGCGTGCTCGCTATCCAGAGCAAGCATCTTGCCTGCAGCAGATGCCTGCAACCGTGTCCGTTGCTCCCGCTGAAGAAACAGGTGGGAGACCCCTCGTGCGCCCCACACCACCTCTGCCTTCTCGCTGCACCGTTTCCCATCCAAAATTGTTTCTGGATCCCCAAACTGACAAGATCTGCAAAGCCAAAGCCTGAGCTGACTCCCACTAAATATGGAGTTGGTGGATGGGGGAGGGGGTTGAAAAGTACACCACAGATGGTTTAGCAGCTTTGGAGTTAAATGACATTCTAGACTTACTTTTTGTTTGTTTGTTTTGAGTAGGAGTCTCACTCTGTCACCCAGGCTGGAGTGCAGTGGCACACTCACGGCCACCACAGCCTCGATCTGCTGGGCTCAGGTGACCCTTCTGCCTCAGCCTTCCAAGTAGCTGGAACCACAGGCGTGTGCTGCCATGCCTGGCGAATTATTTTTGATTTATTGTAGAGATGAAGTCTCTCCAAGTTGCCCAGGCTGGTCTCAAACCCCCGGGCTCAGGCAATCCTCTTGCCTCAGCCTCCCAAAGTGCTGGGATTACAGGCATGAGCCCCTGCACCTGGCGGCATTCTAGACTGTCAAGGTCTAGACTTTAAGACTCTCTTCATCTCTGTCTATGGTCCTCAAGATGATTCAGCCGCTGCTCACCGTCCTATGGTTTTGCAGGTGCCAAGTAGGGCAGGTGGAGCTGTAGGCTGGGGGGAAGCCCCCCAGGACAGGGAAAGGGCTGGGGCGAGGAGGGGTACCCCAGCATCTGTGTGAGGGAAAGCCAAGCCCTTTGAGCTCCTCAGAATACACGTTCCCATCTGAACCCCAAACCAGTGGCTTTCACCCCCCCTGTTTCCAGCATATTTGCCATTTGCTTGAAGTAATTTTTGCCCTTCTAAGTAGTGACTACATGTAAAAGTGCTCCGCATTTTCCTGGCAAGCCCCAATTTCACACAATATTATATTGATTAAGATAGGTTAATGAATCTTTAATTAAATGTGATTTAACTTTATATTCATATAAGACTTTATCTGCAAACACACCGAAAAGCCCCACAAACGTAGCCATCAGCGTCTGACTTTGGCTCTAAAACCTATGGACATATCAAGATGCAAAACCTCAAGTAAAAACTACTTTAACAAATGGACCTTTTGAGCATAGCGCCATATGGGACTCGAGCTGATTCTTAACTTCTCAGGCTACACAGACACAGGCTTAGCAGACTTTAAGCATAAAAAGCAACCAAATGCCGACCTTCCCGGGTCTTGCTTCTGTACCAGGGGCAGAACAGATTTCAAAGCAAGGGAGGAAGAGGCCTGTCAGATGTGGACTGTGGAGCTTGGCCTGACTCCCCGACCCTTGTCGCCCCGGCCATGGCGCTTACCTGCAGGTAGTGCTGTGGTGGCTGCTGCAGGAGTGACGGCTGGGAGGCGGGGAAGCTGGGGTGCAGCACCGCCTGCCCCATCAGCAGGACGGGGGTCGGGGCGCTGCTGCTGCTGCTGGCGGGGTGTGCGTCTGGACTTGGAAACACAGTCTGGCTCTGTGCATACCTGTTTGATTTCGCGTGGGCAGGAGAAAACAGATCCTTTAGGGAATTAGCATGGATACGACACCCAAAGCACAGGCAACAGCATCGGTAAGTGGAACTTGATCGAAAATGTCTGGGCATCCAAGGACACTATCCACAGGGGCAAAAAGCAACCCAAGGAGAAAAAGCAAGGGGAGAAAATGTTTGCTAATCATCTGTCTGATAAGGGATTGATACCCAGGATGTATAAAGAATTCCTACGACTCCACAACAAAAATAAACCCAAACAACCCCACCCAAAGATGGGCAATGGCTTGAGTAGACGTTTCTCCAAAGGGAAGACAGAAATGGCCAGTAAGCACGCAAAAAGATGCTCAGGTTATTAGTCATTAGGGACAAGCAAATAAAAATCAAAATGAGCCGGGCTCGGTGGCTCAGCCTGTAATCCCGCACCTTTGGGAGGCTGAGGTGAGTGGATTGCCTGAGCTTGTGGGTTCGAGACCCGCCTGGGCAGGCGAGACCTCATCTCTACAATAAATATCAGCCGGGCATGGTAGCGCACGCCTGTAATTCTGGCTACTCAGAAGGCTGAGGCAGAAGGATCGCCGGAGCCCAGCAGGTCGAGGCTGCGGTGGCTGGGAGCGGCCACTGCACTCCAGTCTGGGCGACGGAGTGAGACTCCAACTCAAAAAAAAAAAATCAAAATGAGATAACACTCACATCCATCCCAATGGCTATTTAATCAAAAAAAAACCCCAAAACTCAAAACAAAAACAGTAAATGACAAATGTTGGTAAGGATGCAGAGAAATGGGAACTCTTGTGCTCTGTTGGAGGGAATTGCAAAATGGTACAGACACTGTGGAAAACGGGGGGTAATTCCTCAAAAAAACAATTACCATTCTACTGTTCTGATCCTGCAATTTCACTTCTGGGTATATGTCCCAAACAAGTGAAGACAGGGACTCAAACAGATGTTCGTATGCCCACAGGTATATGTGTATACCCATAGCAGCATTATTCACAATAGCCAACAGGTGGGAATAATCCAAATGTCCCCTGACAGATTAATGGATTAAAAAAAGTGGTCTGTCCACACAATATACTATTACTATTCGCCCTAAAAAAGGAAGGGAATTCCGACACGTGCTACAACATGAATGAACCTTGAGGTCATCATGCTGAGGGCAATAAGCCAGTCACAAAAGGAAAAATACTGCGTGATTTCCCCTTATCCTAGGGGCCTAGAGTAGTCAAATTCATAGGAAGCAGAAGGGTGGCTTCCAGGGGCCGGGGGAGGGAAGATGGGGAGTTAGTGTTTATTGGGTGCAGAGTTTCAGTGTGGGACGGTGAAAAAGTCCTGGCGATGTATGGGGGTGATGGCTGCATCACAGTGCGAATGCACTTAATGCCACTAAAGTGTGCACTTAAAAAGGGTTAGAATTGTACATGTGATGGATGTTTTTCCACAATGAAAAGTTTATCAAAAAGAAAGAAGCCTGGATGATAACGGCCCACCCATGAGGGGTACAGAAAGTCCACGCAGGAAAGGCCTGGAAGATTGCGGACAGTAAGGGATGTCTAGAGACACTCCGGAGAGGCTGCTTGGCTTTCCATGTGTGGAGATGTTATTTCCTTGCTTAAGCTTCCCCTGAAGAGACCTCTGTGCGTGGGGCAGGTGGCCCCCGGCACGACCTGAAGGGTGGGGCTGTAAGGTCAAGTCTGGAGACAGAAGGGGAGAGGGGAAGGGTATTAACCGAGAATGGCAATTAGAGCGCCCAGAGGAAAGAATTTCCATATTTGCCTAGCTCACAACATTTTAAGCATCTCTGGAAAGTGATGTCACAAGAATGTTTGCTTCCGCTTATTTGGATCATCTAGGAAGAACAGGCAAAATCCCAAAGCAAAACCAACCCCCCTCCCTGCCATAGACGGCATGAGCAGACATTTAAAGACTGCTTCCCAGGATAGGCATGACCAAAGGGAGGGAGGACCAGGAAGAGGCTACCTAGATAGTTATTCCCAGGCTGTGGGGAGACCCCAGACCGGGCCAACAATGTCTTCGAAGATTCAAGCAGCCCAAAGGTCAGATGGTCTCCAGCTCTGCCACATGCAGCGTGTGGCACTGGAGAAATAATCTAACCCCTCTAAAGCTCAGTCTCTTCACTGATTTAAAAAAAAAAAAGTACGTCCCTTCATCACAGGTTTTTTATTTTTATTTTTGGAGTCTCACTCCGTTGCCTAGGCTAGAGTGCAGTAGCACACTCACAGTCACCCCAGCGTCAACCTGCTGGGCTCTGATGATCCTTCCACATCAGCCTTCAAGTAGCCGGAACTACAGGCACAAGCTACCGCGCGCCCAGCTATTTTAAAAAACTTATTGTAGAGATGAGGTCTGGTCATCTCAGATGTATTGTAGAGGCCCGGGCTGGTCTCAAACCCTCGGGCTCAAGCAATCCTCTTGCCTTGGCCCCCCAAAGCACTGGGATTACAGGTTTGAGCCACCGTGCCCAGCCCATCCCAGGGTTTTTTTTCCCTTTGGAGTGGGAGTCTCACTCTGTCGCCCAGACTGGAGTGCAGTGGCCACTCCCCGCCACC